CAGATGTCCTGGTGCCAAGCATTCTTGGTGTGTGGAGATAATGCTGCACCACATCCCATATCTCTGGAACATTCTGCTGGACATTAAGGTCAAATATTTATAAACAGGACTTAACACAAAATATAATTTGTTTTAATATAGATGTAGATTATAAAGAATGCAACCACTATTTAAAGAGACAAGACTGGCCGAAACCGGTTTGGCTCAATGGATAGGGAGTCACCCGTTTGGCTCAATGGATAGAGCATCGGCTTGGGGACTGAAAGGTCCCGGGTTCGATTCCGGTCAGGGGCATGTACCTTGGTTGCGGGCATATCCCCAGTGCGGGTGTGCAAGAGGCAACTAATCGATGACTCTCTCTCATCGATGTTGTTAACTCTCTATCTCTCTCCCTTCCTCTCTGTACAAAATCAAAAAAATATATTAAAAAAAAAGAGATAAGACTGCACTTTTATTTTTGTTCATATTTTACTGAAAATAGTTTGTTATTTCAGAAATTTATTTTTCATCATTAGTACCACCACTGGTGTTTGAATGGCCAATTCAACACCTGTTTTAATCTGCATTAGTAGCCGTCCTATTTATTCATGGGGATACTACCCATTGGTGCAAAGCAGCTGACAACTACATTTCTTCTAGCAGTGCTTCTTATACTTTAATGTGCACACAAATCACGTGGGAATCTTGTTCAAATTCAGCATCTGAGTTGGTAGAGTAGGGCCTGAACTTCTGATTTCTAACAAGCTCCCAGAATTCTGATGGTACTGGTCTACTATCACACTTGGTAGAAAGACTTTGAGTGTGGTTGAGCCCCAGCATTTACAGAACAAAATGTTTACTTTGTTATATGTTACTTTTTATATTTTAGTAAGGGCATTACTTTCCTTAAAATATGAATGCAAGTTTATTATTTTCTATTTCTTTTTAGGACAGTATTGGGGAAGTTGCAAAACATGTCTTTAAAAATGAGATACAGGGTCAAGAGCCACTGCCCTAAGTAAACACATAAAAGAATATTCCCCACACGACTATTTAATAAGCAAACAAGTAGAAAAACTAAAATAAATAAAAAAAACTTGATATAGTCACATAATGGAACACATACCATACTGCAGAAAAATAAAGTAACTAAAACTACCTGACTAAACACAAATAAATTTTAGCAAATTGAGTGAAGAAAGCTACAGATACAATCATCATATTTAAATAATCTTAAAACAAAGAAAAATTATATAATGTTCATGGATGTAAAGGTAGGAAGTAAAGTATAAACATGGATAGGATGGGTGCATATCAATTTTGGGTCAGTGGTGAGGAACGAAGAGAAGGGTATAGAGGGGTATGTAAAGAACCATGAGAAAGCTTCATTTTGTTTTGTAGTTTTATTTCTTTAAGTTGGTAATGGATGCATGGATATTCATTATATTGTGTGTTGCCAATACTTATATTGCTATATTATTTGTCATTTCACCTGAATTGGCAAAAACTGTTGGGTCTAGTCAAGTGTTAGAAAAACTCTTCTCCCAAGGAAAGGATTTAGGAATAGATGTCAAAAAACTCAGCTTCAAGTGTCAATTCTGCATCTTACAAATTGTGTAGATTTAGGCAATTTGAAGCACTCTTGAGTTTTATTCCACCTGTATATGATATCACTTTTCCCCTCTGACTCACAAAGCTGGTTGAGAGGCATACAGAGCAATGTATGTGAAAATTTTTTAACAGGGTAAGAAAGGCAGGCATAATTTTTGAGCAGTAAGAGCAAATCTTACTGCTTTATATTATAAATAAAATCTATCAGTAAATAAACCAACCAAGTTCATCTGTCACTCTCTTTTCTTGTCATCACTGATTCTAAAGATATAACCAATCTTAACATGGAAGAAACTTTATGCCTACTACTATAAATTCCTAAATGTATAGAGATAGGCATTCTCCCTATTATAACTACTTTATGCTAATTCTTCAAAACAAAATAAGAGAACAATTTGTACTTATTTAACTGAAACAGTCTATGTCACATACCAGAGTAACTGTTGATTCTTATTGCCCTTACTATAAAGTAAGCAGGTGGCACGTTTTATTAGCCCTATATTACAAATGAAGAAACTGACTCAGACATGGGGTAGCTGGCTGGTAGACCAAGTCAGTGACAGAACATGGAACAGACACTAATGGCTTAGTTCTTCTGTGTCCATTAAGCAACAAAAACATTATTTTGTCACAGGGATACAGAAAATCCTTTGTCAGATGTCATTTCACACACATTTCAAAATGGGTAAAAATACTCAAGAAAACAAGCCACTTACCTACAGTACCATACAATGAGGGACAAAATTAAAACTGCCTTGCCTGGTAAAAATCGAATCCCATCCTTGCCAATTAACCTTATTAATACTATGGTAAGACAAAAGAGGTGTCAAAATATGGATGAGGGTGCTATTCATTTCCCCCTGGAACTAAAAAAAAAAAAAATAGCGATTATTTGCACACCAGGGATTTTATTTATTTATTTTTTATTAGTGGAAACGCGGCTATCTCCACTGTTCAAGTAACCCACTACCACTACTCCAAAAATAGAAATTTACCAACAAGCCAAGAGTTGGCAGTACCCAATTAGAACACTGCAATTATGGTAACTATCAAAACACTGGTAATAATTAGATATTAGATATTAGACAATGTCACCCAAGTGATTTATGCTATAAATACATAAAGAGACAAAACTCTTTATGGAGAAGAGTTCATTTGCTTTCAAGGCTTCCTGTTAATGTACTAGTAGTAAACAGAAGAATACTATCCCAACAGGTACCTGACTTACTCAGACCCACTAGGTGGCTTCAAATGCTGGCAGAAGACAGCCAACCTTCATTTTATTAATTGGAGCCTTAAAAAAAAAATCAATGACTCATCTCTTTGTGGATCAAATATTAAACAGCAATATCTTCTCATAAACACCCCAAATTTAAACATCACCCTCTCTTGTATTCCGTTATTCACCCCTCTGCTTTACCAAATCCACCCGCTACTGACTTAAAACAAAGCATCGTGTAAAACAAACCATGCTCTGGCACTGCCGGGCATTTCACCATAAGATCACTACGAACGTTTTTGTCTTAAACGAGAAGCTGGGTTGCATTCCCTTTACAAAAATAAAGCCCTTCACAACAATACAATCTAACTGGGAAAAACTCTCGTTTCAGGATAAAACACACACACACACACACACACACACACACACACACACACACATACAACACCCAAACATAAACTCCCCATTTTCCGGTGCACAATCCCTCACCACGCTACCCCGGAGTTGGAGAATAGGTAAGACTGCAGCCCGCCCACCCAGAGAGAAAAGGAACCCCACGGCCCGGCCGGCATTCGCAAATCCCCGAGGCCCCGGCAGATTCGATCTCACACGGGGGCCGGCACACGAGGGCGTTCGGGAGGCAGCGTGCAGGCTCCGCGATCTCCCCGTGAACCTGACCTCCCCGGCCTCCCCGCCCGCGGCCAGGAAAGCAGAGGAAGGGAAAGCAGACCTTCTCGGTAAGGAGGACCCAAGGAAGACCTTCCCCCACCGACCGCCAGTCTCCCCCAGGCCCGCCGATTCCCGCCGCCTCGCCCACCGCACCGACACTCCTCCACCTCCACCTCCCCCCCCCCCCAATCCCAATCCTCTCCGAAACCGGGGGGGGGGGGGGGGGGGCTCCCCGCCTCTCCCCGCGCTCGGTGGGATCCCGGTCTCCAACAACAAAGACGCATCGCGCTCCCCTCCCCCTGCCGGGCCGCGGCTCGCCTCGCCCGCGCTGCGGCTCCGGGCCTAGCAGCGCCCCCTCCCCAGCCCGCCGCCGCGGCCCGGCCCCCGCCCCCCGCCGCCCGCCGCCGCCGCCGCACGCACCTGCACCGGCGGGGCCGCAGTCGCGGTGCCGGGCGGAAAGGGCTGGGAGAGAACCTCCGCCGCCGCGCTGTCGTCCTCGGGGCGCGCTCCGCGATGCCGCCGCCGCCGGACTCCCCCGGCCTGCGGGCGGGACCGGCCGAGCCGAAGGGGAAGGGACGCGGGCTGCGGTGCCGGCGACGGCACGGAGAAAGGCGGCAGCGCCCGAGAGGGCCCACTCGCGCTCCCTCCTCGCCTCCTCGCGCCGGCCCTGCGCCTCCCCACGGGCTCGCGTTCTGCTGACTAATGGCCCCGGCGCGAGGCGCTGGAGCTGCCGCCGCCGCCGCCGCCGGTGGCTCTCGGTCGGCCCTCAGGTCCCGAGCAGCCGTGGTCGCAGCTGCTGCTGCCGCTGCCGCCGCCGCCGCCGCCGCCCTTTACGGCACTGCAGACACCACCCAGCCCCAGCCAGGTGTTTCTCCGCTCGAACCCTCCTCCCTTCTGGCTCCGGTTCTGCCTGCCAGGCGCGGGGCTCGCGGTCGTGGCGGGAGGGAGGCTGGAAGGGAACCGAAGTGGGGGGGCGGGGGGGCAGCGAAGGACTCGCTCAGCCAGGACTTGGTCACTGACTGGATGGAGATGCCAACACTGACCCGGGCTCCAGCCTCCGAGCAGGCAGGGGGCGGGGCGCAGTCCGGTTTAACTCGATTTCCACCAATCGCAAGCCGACCCCTGGAGCCAGGCGCCAGGAGAGGCTGAGCTGAGTCGGTAGGAGGCGGGGACTGCGGAAAAGAAGGGCCAATGGAAGCGAAGATTCCCCGCCCCTTTCGCCTTGATGGACATCCGCGTTTGGACCAATGGGGGGGGATTCTCGCTTCGAAGAAAGCGGGATTTGGATGCGGAGTCTGAGTGAGGGGGAGCGGAGGGATGGAGTCTTGGCCTCGAGGGAAAGCCTTCTAGCGAGCTGAGGGACCGACCGAGGGTGTCCTTTGACCTCCGCGCGGCGTCACGTGGACTGAAGGGGGCGGGGCGAGAAAGCTAGATCAGTTTCTTCCGGGTCAGTGACTGGCGTCTTCTCCATGAGGTCTTGAGTCTTCCTAGTTTCCAGCGTCCTGTGCTTGTGGTTTCGGCGATGAGCTCCCAGAGAGGGAACGTGGCCCGTTCCAGGCCTCAGAGACATCAGAATACGTTTAGCTTCAAAAATGACAAGTTTGATAAGACCGTTCAGACCAAGGTAGGAACCTGCCTTGCAGCATTCACTCTGACTCCTCCAGGAAGGAAGGAATGGTTCAGTGGAGGGGAAGGAGGAAATGAGAAGGAGCTGGCGAGGGCGAGTGTGTGTGGAGCGCAGCCCAGAGTTGGTTTTGGCTGCAAAGCAACCCTTTCCGAAATGATATTCCCACACCCTCTCGGTGACCTGGATGTGTTGTCTCCCTGTGAATGGATTTGGCAATCAACCCTTAACACTAATTGCTCAGAGAGTGAATGTGTCCCTCTCAAACCTAAAATGCAAATGGGTGAGTTGAGTTTGTTGGACGCTCCTATCTGGATCACATATTTACAGTAGAAAAAAATGCGGATGATGTGGCACGAGTGACTCTAAAATTTTGTGCCAACTTTATGCAGCAACTGTTTGTTTTTTGGAAAAACCCACGTCCATATGTTTGTAGTGGGGAATGGGAAGGATTAAACGTTCTCAGGCCCAGTGCTTTCACTAATAATCATGGGTATTTTGAGGATGGAGTTGTTTGATGAATGTAAAAATGCTTGTTTTTTTTTTGTTTTTTTTTTTTTTATAACTCATTTACTTCGTTAGCAGGATTTCTGCCACCTGAAAGAAAATTAAGACTGTCTATTTAGGCACAGGTCTTGGGTTTTATAAAGCTACTAATCCGCTGTAGGTGTCTGCCCCGCCAACTTCTCCATAGCTGTATGGAGAGGAGATAATTGGAGACAAGGGCATCTTGGGGGCCACCTTCACATCGGGTAAACCTGATATTCACATAATCTGGAGTTCAGATTTCCTGATTGTGCAGCTTAAGTAAATCATTTTAATATTTAGTTTCTCTGAGCCTTACTTTAGTTTCTGACGAGAAATCTGGCAGGATTGCTGTGAGGCTAAATTAAATGATGTATATAAAAAAGTTTAGATCATAATAAGTGTCCAACAAGTGATTAATTTCTCAACATTGAAATTACTGATTATAGTAACTTGGGGTCCCCTTTTCTTTTTCTCTTTCTGTCTTCACTAATTACAAATATATATATATATATATATATATATATATATATATATATATATATATTTTTTTTTAATATATATTTTATTGATTTTTTACAGGGAGGAAGGGAGAGAAATAGAGAGCTAGAAACATCAATAAGAGAGAAACATCAACCAGCTGCCTCTTGCACACCCCCTACCGGGGATGTGCCCGCAACCAATGTACATGCCCTTGACCGGAATCGAACCCGGGACCTTTCAGTCCACAGACCGACACTCTACCACTAAGCCAAACCGGTTTCGGAACTAACTACAAATATTTAATGAGTACGTTCCATGTACAAGGCCCTGTGCTTCAGTGCATACAAAAAGACTTGATTTTGCTTATAGTTTCCTGGGTCATTGGACAATAAGCAAGCACAAAGATATATAGTTATGAATTATAATACATTCTGATAAGGGGGAAGACAGTTCAGTAAAGAAGAATAAAGAGGGCCGAAACCGGTTTGGCTCAGTGGTTAGAGCATCAGCCTGCGGACTGAAAGGCCCCAGGTTCAATTCCGGTCAAGGGCATGTACCTTGATTGAGGGCATATTCCCAGCTGATCAATGTTTTTGTCTCATTGATGTTTCTAGCTCTCTATCCCTCTTCCTTACTCTCTGTAAAAAAAAAATCAATAAAATATATTTTTTAAAAAGAATAAAGAGGGATATTTTCAATTAGATGCTCTAGGGACCTCTTCTTTTCCTTAGATTTAGAAGGGGGAAAAAAAGCTGAAGCAACATTTGGGAAGATTTTCTCAAGTGTGTGTCTTATCATTAGGTAAACCTAAATAAAAGGCTGTGTTATTCCTAATAAGTGACTGTCTGGTCCTGTATTCTTACTGTAAGTTTTGGCACCAGCAATTCTAATTGTTTTCATCAGATGATAATGCAGTTTTAATAATCATTTAGCCACAATGTACCATACTGTGCTTCTTGTTCTTATAAGTACAAGACTTCTTGAACTTGGACTTCTTATACTTCTCGTTGTCCGTTTTCTTGGTGTTATCTAACAGCTGTGGCATTATGGTCTTGAACCTTATTTGTCCATTGGTAGAAACACCAGGTGTTTTGTTATTGGAGATACTGGCAAAAACAGCAAGAAATATTTTACTGAGGCAAGATCATTCGGTTGATTGTTCATCCATCTGTCTAATGGAGGACTAATAATTGGCTGCATTCATAGCAAATTCTTGAGCCAGTTAGATGCCACTATCTAAAGCCAAAATTTTGTCAGAAGCATCTGACCCTGCTTCATTCATGTGCTTTATTTCAGAAAGCTATTGGATTCAGTGACATCTAACAAAGAAAGAGTAATTGTATGATCTTCTGTAACTCTCTTTAAAGGATTATAGTTACAATTGATTACTTGTGCCTCATTATTTTGTAGGAGATCTACATTAATTCCCTTTTCCTTCTCTGCCAAGCAATTTGTCAGGACTTGACTAAAATTAGAAGATGGATAATGACAGATGTTTTATTGGGAAACTTATATAGGTGAAGCACCCATTCCGAAAATACTCTGTCTTCGTATACTTGAATATTTTCTAGAAGAATAGAGAAACTTGTTCTGTGGCATTCTATGTAAGCAAACTTAGACCAACGGCTCAAACTAACAGAGATAGGTTTTAGCTTAGTATAAGGAAGTTGTCTAATAATGAAGAGCATGCATAGGATTTTTAAACTTCCCCTTGATTGGGATTATTTAAAAGAAGTCTCTTGCCATTGGCCGGTAGTGCTGTTCTTGGGACTTGAAGAGGTGGGATTGAGGTGGAAATAGGATTAAATCTCTTGTAGTCATTTGGTACTAAAATATAGATATCATTAAGACAGTCTTGTAAGCCCTAGCCACTTTGGCTCAAAGGATGGAGTGTCAGTCTGTGGACTGAAGAGTCCTAGGTTCAATTTCGGTCAAGGGCATATGCCCAGGTTGCCAGCTTGATCCCCAGTAGGGAGCATGCAGGAGGCAGCCAGTCAATGATTCTCTCTCATCATTGATGTTTCTATCTCTTTCTCCCTCTCCCTTCCTTTCTGAAACAAATATATACATACATACATACACACATACATATACATATGTATGTATGTAAATATAAAGGCAATATGCAAATTATCAAGGATGCTATAACATCACGACCACTCATGAGGAGGCTGCACGTGCAGGTGGGCGGGAGGGAACTGCGTGCATGGTGAGCAAGCCACTGATGGCACAGGCCTGGAGAGAGCTGCGGCACGCCGGCAGTCTGCCTTTGCATGAGCTGCAGAGGAAACACCTTTTCTGACCGCTCATTGGCTAAACTCCTAATACACCACTGGCAGTGTTCTTGGTAACTTGGATAATAAGAATCCAAGAAGATGATCTAGTGTTTTTCCACCTCACTCCTGAAGGGAAAAATGAAGGTCCGCTGCTGGATGGGCTAAGAAATGTCATATCCTGCCCTAGCTGGTTTGGCTCAGTCGATAGAGCCTCGGCCTGCGGACCACAGGGTCCGGGTTTGATTCTGGTCAAGGGCTCAGGTTAGGGCTCATGCAGGAGGCAACCAATTGAAATGTCCCTCTAACATTGATGTTTCTCTCTGTCTTTCTCTCTCTCTTCCACGTTCTCTAAAAATCAATGGAAAAATATCCTCAGGTGAGGAGAAGGAAGGAAGGAAGGAAGGAAGGAAGGAAAGAAGGAAGGAAGGAAGGAAGGAAGGAAGGAAGAAAGGAAGGAAGGAAGGAAGGAAGGAAGGAAGGAAGGTAGGTCATATCCTATGAAAGAGACATCTTGAAAATGTCTAAAGAAAGTGTCATTTTTTTGTGGTGAAGGGACTAGACTCTGTGTTGATAAAAACACCTTGGTGGCTGCAGTGGCCAGCAGTGGCAGCAGCAACAGCATGATGGGGGCGGCGCCTTCCCCTGATCAGCCCAGTCACCTACCACAGAGGGAGGCTAGACTGCAGGGAGTGGGCCTAAGCTGTCAGTAGGACATCCCCTGAGGGCTCCTGGACTGTGAGAGGGGGCAGGCTGAACTGAGGGAAACCCCTCCCCCCCAGTGCAGGAATTTGTGTGCACTGGGCCTCTAGTACATTATAAAAAAAAAGAAATGCATACTTGTTGAAGAATATTTGAAATAATAGAGAAGTGAATAAAGTATAAAAGTGAAATATCCTTTCCCAGCACAATTCCTCTTCAGGTACACTTTTTATTTATTCATGCAAGGCTGTCTACCTGAAGGTAATTATCATTAGAATTTCTTAATTGCTAACTTAAGCAGAAAGGGAAATTATTGGAAAGATACTGCACTGATCTCATGAAGCTTATACAAGGTGTTTGCTTATTTGTTTTTTTATTCAAAATTACCAGATTGGCATTACTGCTGGGAAATTTTATTCTCATTTCACTTGGTGTATATTCAACTTCATGCAACCTTCCAAACTTTCAATGTCGCCTGCCGTAACCCTGGAGTTGATACTTTATTAGCATCAAATAGAGTCAGAGTGTTGAAAATAAAATTTCGCTCCCTTTCTTGCTCTACCTGACTACTCCTTATAGTCCTTAAGTAATGATGTTTGTTCAACTCCTCCAGTTAGAACCCTTTCTCTGTTTGCTGCTTCAGTCCATTTCTTCCTCACTCAAAACCCCAGCTCTTCTGAAATATATACCATCAGATTGTTATCCCCTCCCAATCTGTCCTTACCTTCTAGTTATACCTCCTCATTTGTACCTGGCTCACTGCTTTTCCATAATTCCTATCATTGTATTTAGGATATTCGCATGGATAATCCAACATTTGATCCTTCAGCTTTTAGACCCACTCCCGCCCCCCCAAACATTGAGAATCTCCTTGCATAGTCAAACCTTAAACTCTCTTATGCATATAATTGTTCCACTTACAATGTTTTTTTATTTGTAAATACTGGCTACTATCTGCTTACCTGGTTTTCTTATTCATATATATATATATATATATATATATATATATATATATTT